TTGTATTAGTTTTAACAGGCTTTAATCCCCTCAAAGCTACATGTAACCTGTGTAATTCTATGTGTCATCTAAATACTTTTACCTTCCACACAACTTTCCATTAATGTGGTAATAAACAGACAACTATTTCAGCATAGATAGTTTGTTGCTTACTTATATAGCTTGTCATTGACTGCCTGGCATACATCAACCGTTAGACCTCCCAATGATTTTGTATAATCTCTATAATTTTGTTAATTTATCTATACAATGCACACATCTTCAGGGAAACTGATATTTGGATACATATTTCATTAATCCTCTTGTAGAGCATGAGAGTAAACACACATTCTAATATAAACAGGAATATCCACTTAACATGGAGCAACTGAATATATTTTTATAGAAAAAGATCAATCTTAGGTTTTCTTCTATGCATTTCCATATAAGCCACACGGTTTTCTTCTGGTCCAAACTGAAGCAGAAATAATTAGTTAATAATCATTGCCTGCTGCTTTAACATGATTCAAGAGGGGACACAATAAAACCTGCAGATGTTGACATTTCAATAACTGGAGCCAGATTCTTCAAGCCTTCCTGGAAAAGGACATTAAATATTTTTGCTAACAGGCAGACAGTTTGATACGGAGGAGCATTTTTATGAGCTGTGTTTTGCAGCCTGCTGACTTTCTAGAAACTTGTTTCAATAATGAAAATAAAGACTGTCCACATGCAGGAAGCTCTATGCAAACATGCAGATAAAACAATCCTAAAATGTCCTGACTGAACCTAAAGTGCAAAGGCACTCCATCTGCTTATCTCATGCTTGAGGGCATCATTGTCCTGTGAGTAAAACTGTTTGCTTAAGAGTACTCACTCAAAGAGATATTATTAAGCTGATGCAAACATAATGAAATCCATGATAAAAAAAAAAAAAATAATGTTCATGTGGAGCTGATTTCATATCAACCCCACCACATTCCTTATTTTACTTTTTTTTTCAGGGGGTCTGTACATTACCCCCAAATGTAAGTGTTTTTTTGTTCTTGTTTTTTCCATTGTGAGCCACAAAAAAATATTTGCTCAGCGACATCCAGTAGGGATAGATAAAGTCCACAAGACTTCTTAGAAACACGCTCATTCCAAAATTCCTGGGACGAGGTTAAGATTCCCCTCACTGGGGTCAGGAGACTTTTTTATTTTAGGAACATGGCTTTGATTCTGATATTGTTTTTTTTTTTTTTTAGACACAGCTACATTGCATTAATACATGGAAGAGATGGTTTATAATTTCTAATCAACTCAGATATTTTGATTGTAGTAGGACATCCCTCAGATTTACAACAATAAATTAAAAAATACATGAAAATATCCTTATTGGACCAACTTGTCTTTTTTTGGTTTTTATTTTTTTTAGAGTGAAAAATAAGTAAATATCTGCTGTGGAGTAGCCTACTTAATAAACAGGCCGAGGAATAGAGAAACCAGAACAGATCTATAAAGCTTGATATAGTGTAAAATATAGAAGATATCTACAGTAGAAAATAAAATAAACAGCTCAAGCCATGAGTATCCTAGATTACCTAGGAAAGTAAAGATAAAATAATCAGATGAATCCTTTTAAGTGGTCTTAAATTATTCCAGGAATTGATCACAAGTGTTAATATGTAAACGACAACCCGATTAAAAAAAAACAAGTTATATGTGCCACGCATAGTGGTACATATAAGTGCTTAACAGAAATTTCCTCGGCCTAACAGTAGAATAATGCCATTTTTTCCCAGACTATCGTTACAACAACAACAACCTATTTTCGCGAATGTAATTAATCTGAAGCTCCACGAAAAGCTCCAGCCGTATTTTTCCAAACAGGATCGAGGGAAATCTATATAACTGGAAATAGCCTGTGCGCATTCCTATTATCTTTAATGTCGAGGCGGTGAATTCCCAGAATGAGGGCTCTGTCAGGGCCGCCCGGCGGGGCGGAGCCAGGGCCTGCAATTATTCCTGGAAAGCCAGTAGGCAGAAACTGCCGCGTGGTTCCTGGGAGCGACCGCGCGCCGTTTTCAGCGAAGATGGACGGAGAGCAGTGCGGCGCGCGCGACAGGCTGGGAGGAGGGGCGAGAGGAGAGAAGAAACGCCGCGCGGACGATTTAAGTGTCAATCATTGGGATGTGTTGTAACGCGCAGGGGGGCGGCGGCAGGAGCGGCAGGCGGCGCATCCGCTGTGACGTCAGAACCGCCGGCGCAGTGAGTAGTTCTCAGAATCGACTTCTAGGAAACGGTAAATTTTAAAAGCCAAGCCTTTAGTCATTTGTCCTTCAGTTCTCATTCTGGCGACAACACACTCCGGAGCGCTGCTGCTGCTGCTCATCTGACCTTTTATTATTAGTTTTTCGTTTTTGTTGCAAAAGTCGGTTTTGTTTCTTTAACCTGCTCCTCTGCGCACCTCGAAGTGGCTTTTTACTGACAGCAACATATTCTGTTTGGCTTCGTGATTCGCTCCCAGTCTACCTTCTTCATGTTAAACCGATACGACAGGTTTGATTAGTTCTTTTAGAAAGAAAGAAAAAAATTACAGCTCTACCTGAACACGAAGCGAGTGCGTTAATTTCCTGAAGAGAAAAAGGACATAAGCTTTTTTATTCCAGAGGATTTTATAGCATGATTCTTTGTGAACGAGGGTGAGTAGACTTTTCTTTGTTTTCACATCTGAGCGCGTATTTACCCTGTTTGTCCGCAGTAAAACATTTACGAGTTAAACTTAGTATTAAGTTTATTTTAAAGGCAAAGTGAAACAAATAAATAGGAAGAATGTCTCTCTAGAAAATACTGATCGACTTCAATTTCCATCGCACACACACACACATATGTATGTATATGTGTATATATATATATATAAAAATAATACATTTTTTTCCTACGACCTATTCCCAAAAACCCAGTATTATCTGGGGGGAAAAAAGAAAAAATAACTGTGTCTTTTAATAAAAACTTGAAATACTAACAATTCATTTATTAATAATAGATCTAAATTACAGTGTTTTTTTTAATTATTATTATTTTAACCATTTTTCTTCTCTCCCCAGTCCCAGGACTCTTCTTCCTGCTCCTCCATCCACTCCAGCCCCGTGGGGCATGCGGGAGGGTACAACAACCCCTGCCCCATGCTTTCAGAGTGCACCTCCAAAATGGGATCCCACCAAAGACTTACGGGCAATTGCCAGCAACTTTTGCTATCTAGAAAATTCAGGTGAATTGTTTGTGTTTTTTTCTTTTAATATCTGCAACATTTTTTCCTTCATTTTATTTTGGGCGAGCTGAGTTTTAATATATTGTGTGAAGCTGTGCATTGGGTTAAATGGTAATTATTAATACATGAGTACTCGTTTAATGTGTGCAATTTTATTTAAAAAACTATTGTGCAGTGTAGTAAAAACGTGCTAAAATCAGTAAAAATGTCCACCAAATAAGAAAATACCTTTTGAAAATAGGCAGTTTAATAAATTCTCTTCAGTTTTTCATCTAGATTTGATCAAAGTAATCATGTTCTCCATGAGTAACATTTACAATGTGTGTATGCAGGATGGTACTGGGGAGCCATAACTGCGGCTCAGGCCCACGCTGCCCTTCAGGAAGCCCCAGAGGGAGCCTTCTTGGTACGAGACAGCAGCCACCCTCTGTTCATGCTGACCCTATCGGTTAGGACGGCGCGGGGACCCACAAGCATACGGATCCAGTACAGTGGCGCCAAGTTTCTCTTGGACTCCAGCTCCGGGGCTCGGGCCAGTCTCTCGTCTTTTCCCAACGTTCCCAGTCTGGTGCAGCACTACATGGGCGCAGAGAGGAAAGCAGAGGAGAGGAAGGTGGAGGAGCAGGCAGCCCCAGCAAAACCCACCGAGCTCTCCCCTCAGGAGACGTCTATAGTACTGAAACTGAAGCAGGCCGTGTACAAACCCCAGAGCCTCCCATCTTTGCAGCACCTCACACGCCTTGTCATCAACAGACACACCGACTGCGCCGAGCAGCTGCCACTCCCAAAGCCTCTGTTGCGTTACGTACAGGACTATCCCTTTAAGGTATGAGGAGAAATAGGAAGGGGGTGTTAAACAGACCCCTGACGTTCTAAAGGAAGAAAAAAAGACAGTCTAACTGGTAATTTGTGCCTGTGGAGGCCAGTCACTGAAATGTTTCTGATTAATTTCATTGAAGACTCGCATGTCTGGTTTCAGATTTAAACCCTTTAAGGACTGAGCTTGTGGAGAAGGTGGGAGGGACCAGAACACCCCACATAAGGACAGTGCGTTAATCCCCAGTAATATGGATGTGGATTTTGTCACTGCTTCAGGATGTACATACTGTTCGTAAGAAATGACACTGATCTCAATGAGACACCTTTAATGCCATTTTATTTTTATCAGCAGAGCAATTTTGTACTTTTTACATGTGTACATTTTTTTCTATTAAAACTGGAACTTGCATCGTCTGTGCTGCTTAGAAGGCGGTCATTATTCACAGGGTCAAAAACAACAGCTCATCATTGCTAACAAACACATGCTGACTGCTCTTGTGACACTCGTTGCGAAATATTTTCACCCATAAATCACATTTGAAACACAAAGGCTTTGTGTGGCCTTTGAGCTTTATTTCAGCAAGAGAGAAACAGATTGTGTGACGAAGGGGGGGGGGGTAGAAAAATAGCGACGGCCGTGTTGTGAGCTTTTTGCTCAACAATGCATATGGCCAGCATCTGAGTCAGCGGGGTGGGCGAGCGAAAGGGGAGGACCGTTCATCAGCGGATTCACAGAACTACTGAACGCTTCCTGGGAGGAGTGAGGCAGATTCTGAGAGGGAGCGTTCTAAGAAAAGCTTTTGGTAATTACCTTCAGCTCTGAGCCTGCTTTTGTGCTGTTCCACACAAATTCTTTATTGTGAAGCTGGGGCGTGACTGCCAACTGTCGACAGGTTAAAAGTGCAGCACTGATATGGAAACTATTTGTGCGAAATGTTCTGTTTTTTTTTTTTTTTAAGGAAGGTGGGATCAGGTGGGGGGAGGCGAGCCGGGGCGACCTGAGCTAAAGCCAGCGTAATAGGATCTGGGTTTCTCAATCCTGATCCACCTCGAGGTCCTTATGTGACTGCTTTCTGGAGGATGCAGAATCTCGGCCTGAGGAGCCAAAACAAACCAGATACAAAGAAATAGATAACACAACGTGCCGTGGGTGCTTTCGTCTTCACTAAAACAGATTGAATAAGAGGTTTTCAGCACAGACCTGCCGCTGATGTCGTTTTGTGTTTCCACGTACTGCAGCCCCTCCACGTTCTCCTCCACCCAACGCTGAATCAGCGGGGGGTGTCTGGGGTCCACCTCCAGGTAAACACGCCTGTTGTTTATCCAGGGAAGAAGGACATGACAAAGGCTCAAAATTAGCACAACGGGATTAACCTTGAGATGAGGCGGCATATGGGCTGGAACTGTATTCAAGGGAAGCCTTGCAGAAAAGCTTGTTAAATATGCAACATGATACGTGTGTTTTTCACAGAGGGCTGTGTCTGCGTCAAGGTGCCATTAGGAATTAAACCCAGGTGTGTGTGTGGAGTCACAGTAGGCTGCCTTACCCACTGTTCAACAGAAAGTCTGAGGCCAGAGTCAGGATCTGTCTGATCACAGTTAGTCCATTTTCACCCCCATCTAAAGCAGCATGGTCCTCAAACCTACAAATTAGAATAAATCAAAATTACAATCTTTAAAAACATTGAATCCAACCTCAGAGTGCAATAAAATAAAAAATATTGAGTGCAATACCACAAAAAACTAAATCTAAAACATTTTTCTTTGGCACAGCCTTTATTGAAACCCCTGGCAGGAAGAAATTAAAAGCAATCTTATATTATCAAATGGTAGTATTAATATTTTGGAGTGACTCAGAACGATGACCTTTATCTCATAAAGAAGCTGGGGAGGGATTGATGTCAAGGAGACCTTCTAACCTTTTTAACACTTGGAGCTCATTCTCCAAAACAAATTGTCAAAATACCAGAGGATGAACGGTTTGATCCATTGAAACAATATTAAAAAAACAAAAAAACACAGCTTTCTAATGTTCTATCAGTTACAAACCTCTTTGGTAAATTTAAATCTGCCCAGGGTAAAAATGGCTTTGGGCTTAACTCTGTTCAGTCTAGCAAAATTGAAATATCAGTATTTCCATTTGTTTATTTATTTATTTGCAGTTTGCTTAAAAAAAAACAACAACAATCCAGTTTTTTATATATGAACTGTAACATTTTATACGGTATAAAATGTGGACGGGTCTCGTAAAAGACCACCTCATTGTTTTTTTTAGCCATCTGGACTAATTCAGTAGAATAATTGGACATTTTAATGCCTTACCAAAACAAACGTAATAATTAACAATAAACAATAAATTCATCTGGATTTTATTGAGTAAACCAACTAAAAAAGGGGCGTATTTGCAAAGTGGTACAAATACGAGAACGATCCTAAAACTGCTGTGCTTTTGCATCCCTTGATAAAATCCAGCGCAGCCTTTAGAAGCTATGCTCTCTGCAAACCTAGCCTTTATAAAGAATGGTAAGGGGAAAAAAAAAAGATTTCTAAAAAAAAAGGTCTCCGCAACCCTGCAAACAATTCAAGATGTAAAATAGTTGGTCTCTCAAGTCAGATGTTATGATCCAGTTTTTTTCATCAGTTTTGTAAAAAGCTAAAAAAAAAAAAAAGAAAGCAGCTCAGTTTCAATTATTTGCAGTTTGACATTAGATCAAGGACAAGTTATTAAATTAAGGCCCAAATTAAAACCGTTATAACTGTCAAGCACCTCAAAACGCTGTAAAATGGCTGTTTGTATTTGCACATGGTGAATTGGAAACTCAAAACACTGATAAGATGCATTCTTCAACTTAAGGTCCAATGTGGCAAATCAAAGTTCAAACTAAAATTCTATCAATCTAACATCTACTTTGTTTTTAGAAATGCACATTGTCTTTATCTTCTAAAAATATGTCTGCCAACTCAAATATTTTTTAGTAATTTTATATTTCACAAACTCATCCAGACAGTGAAAATAAAAAGGCTAATTTCATCCTTTTTGAGAGTTTGTTTTTCACACTAGAAGGTAATCTGCTAATAAATTATAAAGAATAAAACTGCCCTCTCAACAGTTGCAGTCAGCATGGTTTTGGCTCCTAGTTAAAAAAAACAGTTGTAGGAATAAATCTGATGTGTTGACATCTTCACTAGCATATAAATGCACTCCATAAAATGCTATTTATAAAGTAATTAGTTGGTTATTCAGACTCCGCGCTGTAAAACACAACCATTTGAACTCAACTGTACTGGTTCTTATAAGTCTGCATGAATTCAGATAGCAGTTATGTCTTTTCTAAGACATAAACAGTGAAAGCTTCCTAAAAGTAGATTGAACCTGTAGGGAGCTTGAATTAAACATTTGCAGACTCCAGCGTTTTTAAATTTTATTTACTGTTATTACACTGTCACAAATACAGAGCAACGAAAAGAACTCTCTGCATTTAACCCATCTCCTTGAGGCTGCCATTGTGAGGTGCTCGGGGAGCAGTGTGGGGTTAAGGGTCGTGCTCAGAGAGACAGAGTGGCAGTCTGTGGGAGTGGGGCACGAAATCACAACCTCAGGATTCCAAGCTCTATGCCTTAACCACTATGCTGTCCCGCCCACTAAGATGCAACCTCTATGCTGCACTGGCCAAAAATCGAGGAGCGAGAATTCTACCACTGATCCACCAATGCTAAAAATAATTTAACTTCATTGATCTCACATCAATGGAGAAATCGGGGCTTGTAATCAGAAACACTAGATTCCATGCTCTATGCCCTAACCACTAGGCCGCCACTCCCCTGGCAATCATAAACTCCTGCTTGTAATTAATTATTTGCAGGTTTTTCATCACCTAAAGATTTCCGGCTCCAGCGATGCCATATCCTCTGAAAACAGGTACGGTGGGTTACTGACCAAAGCTGAAACGGAGCTAAACAGACCAAGGATCCTTTCTGCGTCTTGGAAAAAAACAAAGCAAAACTTATAACTGAGGTTATATAGAAAAAAACTGCAGTTTTTTATTTTTTTACCTTTTATTACATCCATATGATAGACCCTCAGTCTGTCTTGAAGTCCCAACCTAAACAAGAAACTATTCTGAGCAAATGATGCTTATAACATAAGAATAAAACAAAACTAAAAAAAAACATAGAAAGAGTAAACTCAGAGCACTTGGAGAGTCACAGTATGCTTTCTGTGTGCTATGGCGAAATTACCTCAACGCATTCTCTCGGCTTAAATCAACCGCATCCTGGCTTCGATCCAAAGCAAAGGCTTCGAGCTAGTGAAGGAGAAACAAACACAGTGTTAAAAAACATTCTGTTTCCAGGAAGGGTTCCTCATAAGCCCCTTTCTCTATACTACTCTCCAAGAACCCAATTTCTTTTACAAAATACAAAAGAAAAACGTCTTTTTTCCCTCCATATAATATAAAGAGATACACAGATTTTTTTTCATTCTACAAACATGCATCTGTATTTTCCATCATTGTAGAACTTATGGATACACCTGATGAAATAAGACATTTGATTTACTCATGAAAGTCCCTGAAAAGTGCAGAAGCTGGGGTTAGTTTGTTAAAAGCTGAACAAATCAGAGAAAGGGGAGCAGGAGAGATGTGAGCTATCATACTGTGTGCAGTCACAGCTCAAGGGAAAAGCAGACATGAGCTTTTACCTTTGCACCACAAAAACACACCCAACTAATCCGACAGGTTTTAACAAGGAGGTGGAATGTGAGGAAGAATAATCCGGCATCCTAACCTGTCCTTCGAGAGTCTCAGCACTGCTGAACTCATTTATCAGTCTTCCACTTACAAATGGTTAGATTGAATGTGTTTAGGTCAACAAACTAATCCAACGTGTCAGAAACTGTTTAGAATATGATATGAGTCATTCATTGACTATTATATTATTTCTTATCCAGTTTGCTGGAGGCCTTTTTTATAATTAGCACTGGGTGTTTGTATAGAATTAATGTGGTAAGAATAAGCTTACATTAACAGGAGCTAGCTGCAATAACAGTCACATGTGTCTGTGTTAGTCTAGATCAGGCATCCCCAAAGTCGGTCCTCGAGGGCCACCATCCTGCAGGTTTTAGAGGTTTCTCTGCTCCAGCACAGCTGATTTACATTGATAATTGATTAACAGGCTTTTGCAGGACAGCGGCCCTCGAGGACCGACTTTGGGGATGCCTGGTCTAGATACTATACTAAAGTAAAAACATTAAAAATGATTATTTTCTCTGGTTATGATGATTAAACTCTATTGTGGCTTATGGAAGCCTTTTTATACAGTGGTATATTAGTATTTTATGATAAAGCTAGAATAATCTGGCCTTGAAGTTTATACAGCTGTTTGTTTTTTTTCTATAATCGAGCTTCAGAGTTAGCAGTGCTTGTTACCCTGTACATGACTGAGAACAAAGGAAAACAGCTGATCAGAGCTCTATGTTGTTGTGGCTGCAGCAATGAAAACAGTCTACGATTGTTGTTGTTCTCTTTCTAGTAAAACAAAAAAAAAAACTTGCTGTTCCTGCTTTATAAATATTTTATGCAATAATTATCTTTCCTGTTTGTTTTATTAGACAGGACTGCTCTAAATATGAACATTTTCCTGTAGAATTTCTAAGAGGTCTGCTTTAAATACATTACCACATTGTATAGTACAGCTACATACCTCACAGATTATCTTTTTAACATATTACATTTCTTTTTACAGGAACTCCTCTAATTCTTCACTTCAGTTTTTTTTGTCAAATATGCACTTGTCTTTTTTTTTTGTAGTGTTACCAAAACAGCCTATCAAGGTCTTAATTATTTAATAGATCTGTATTTAGTTCCTGTTTTTAAATAAGGTTGTTGTAAATACACCTAAGCACATAAACCACAGAGGGAAAAAAAGTTTTTGATTCAGTGGTAACATGCAGGAGAGGCAGCACCAAATGTTGCACTTTTAACCCTGAGCTGTGATCTGAATATTTAGTTACAAGTATCAGTTTACTGATAGAGCATTTAATATGCCAGGGCAGTGTTCAAGGAAACTTTCCATGCATGCCAGCTACATTATAAAATCACACTGAGACGACAAATGAAAATCAGGGAACTGTCCTTGACATTGCTAGAAATATGTAAATCTCTGGCCTTTGACTTGCTTTATTTAGGCCATGTAGACCGATGGAAATGTTGCCACTGCTGCACCTGAGAGAAAGCAGTATGAAAACCCAGAAACAAACAGCCTTTCTCTCTATAAGAGGGATTTCCTAATGATTCATAACTTCTGTTCCTATGTTTCCTGAAAAAAAAGTCCCTAGATAACTTTTTATTTTCTTCGGTGTGCAGCGAGCAGCCTCTAGGAATGACATGCAATCCGATGCACGATGGGAGGGAACGTGAGGAACAAAAGACATTTCTTATTGTAACCACAAAGCTCACCTGAGGCAGACTCTTCAGCAGACTGAGAGAAATGGCACCAGAACCGCAACCAACCTCCAAGCATGTTTGCCGTGTCTCTGTGTCTGCAGAACGGCTCTTTAGATCGGTGAGCACTAGTTCAACCAGCTCCTGTTCCAAAGGAAGAACAGACGACATGAAGTTGACTTCATTTCCAGGAATTGGGCAGTGCTTGAACTTCTATCACATCAATAGAAATTCATGTGTGAATATGAGACTTCTTTTTTCCCCCCAAATGATACATTTTGCTTTAAAATATTTCACAAGGCAATTATTCCCCACATTTGTTTCTTTTTTTTAAATGCTACAGTTTGGTTGTGTTATAAGGAAACATAGCTAGAATTTCCATAGCTATATTGATGATACACATATCAGTAATATTACCTCAGTTTCAGGCCTAGGAATAAAAACAGGAGGCCTCATCTTCAGCGTTAGGTCTCTGAAGTCCCACTCCTCAATGATATACTGCACCGGCATTCTGCACATAAGTGTATAATGGTTTCTACAAAAAAAAACACAACTATTAAATATGATTTTAAGACACAGACATACTCACCTAGACAGACGTCTGCTGCAGAGCTGCCACACCTCTTCCATTTTCTCTTTGCTAAGGAACTCTGTTAACCTCTGCCGCTCGACACTTTCTATCTGGATATAGATCAGGAAAAGAGCGAATCAGTTTGAAAACAGCTTTTTGCAAAGATTGAATATGAGATAAAAGAATGACTTCTGCGGTCTGTGACGCACTGTTTTCGCTCCAAGCAGATGAGCGATGATATACTGGCTTGACTGTTCGGCTTCTGTTACACCTTCCTCTTCAAAGTGCCTCTTCCAGATGTCCAAAGCCTGAAGTGCTGTGATCCGGCCTGCGGGTACGGCCGGAGCGCTGCGTAAGGCTCGGTAATGGAAGCTCCAAATCCTCTAAAACAGGTTTTGATAATAAATGTCTGCAAAACATCTAACAACATTTTCCATCTTCTTAATTTATGAACATTTTTGTTGTATATGCATAAAATTTTAAAAGAATTAGCTTTAGTTATAACCACTGGACAGCAAAATATGTCAAGATTTTAACAGCAATCTGGAGAAAATAAAATAAAATGACTCAAACATGGTCAGAAGTTATTTATTTTTTTGATTTAGATGAAGCTGAAAATGTATTTTTGCCATGTTCTGAATTTAAAACCAAATAACGTACAAATATACTTTAATAATCCCAAAGGGACATTTAATAATGTGGTAACTCATACAGGTTTTTTTCAAAGAGTTGTCAGAGAGGATGATGACTTCTGTAGCAGTCAGTGCTACTGTGGTTCTAAATAAGCCCAACTGAAGTCACTGTTGTTATATGACAGTCTAATAAAGAATATCTTTAGAAATGACTGTTTATTGACTGTTTATTTATGAATGTTTATTTTATGCGGAATCTTTCTTTGCACAATGATCTGTAGTGCTCTATATTAGCTCAGATGTTGTGACCCAAACAGATGATAGATAGATGTAGCATCTTGCTGAAAACACTGAAGGACCTAAGCTTGATTAGAAAGAACATGCTGCTCCTTTTTGTATCAACTCTTTCCTCTTTGCGTCCCCAGTCTCCTCAGATAAAAAAATGAGATAGTTGACCTCAAAAATCTTCACATCCCCGTTTGACCTGTTAACGCTTCTCATGAAACCTGCAATCATTAGCTTGTTATGTTCACATAAAAGATGAAATGATTGTTTCCACACCATGCAACAAAGTTCTCTGTACTCAGCTTTTTATCAATCTCTGATGCAACCGATGACCAAAGAGTCATCTGACTATTTATCAGAAGGGGATAACTTCAGTTTATTCCCTTTTTTCACTTATGTTGTTCTTTCTTTAAGTAAGAATTCAAAAATCAAGCTACAGAGTGTCAGAAAATTATTCATGCACCCTAAATTTGACCTCCTTTTTCGTGACACAACAATGTTTGTTAGTGGAATTTTATGTGTTAGACAAACAAAATTGATTGATTGTTTTTATTGATCTCACAGTGGAGAAATGTACTTGTTACATCAGCTCAAATAGTCAAAGGAGGAGAAGAAGGTGCAAAAGGAAGAAAAATCTGCAGGAGAGATATACAGTATAAATGTCCACATATGACAGCATGTGAATACATGTGAATTTATTTACAGAAAAAAAAAATCTATTTTAACTCCTGACGGATTCTTGCTTTAGTTTATGTCTTTACTTCAACTGATTCTTTACAACAATTAAACAGGCTTATATCTGAAACCTTCTGTAGCTTTGGCTGCATTTCTGACCCGCTCACCCCATGATATAACAATGTTCTTCCTGAAGTCACCTGTACTTCACTCCATTAATAGTCCTACCAACTTCCCAGCTTCACTGCTCTTGGTAAAAAGCAATCCCACATTACTGCAGCAATATTTCATGGAAGACATTGTTTGTTTATATATATATATATATATATATATATATATATATATATATATATATATATATATATATATATATATATATATATATATAT